TCATCAAGAAGATGCCCTCAGACATGGCCACAGGCCAGTCCAATAGAGGCAATTCCCCAGTTGAGGCTCCCTCAACCCAGGTGTGTTAAGTTGACACTAAAGCTATCCAGCATAGAGGGTTCAATGTATGTAAGTCAATAAATGTCATTAATCACATATATGGACTCAAAGACAAAAACCAATAGATGCAGAAAAGGCTTGACAAAATTCAGCATGCATCCATGATAAAAGTTCTAAAGGGAATTGGACTGGAGGGAACATACCTCAACATAATTAAAGCTATATACAACAAACCCACAGCCAACACCATTCTAAGTGGAAAGAAAAAATGGAAGCATTTCCATTAAAAATCAGGAACCAGACAAGGCTGTCCACTATTTCCACTCCTTTTCAATATAGTGCTTGAAACTCTTTCTAGAATAATGACAAGAGAGGGAAATTCAAGGAGTACCAACGGGAAAAGAAAAGGTCAAATTATCCCTTTTTACAGACGCTATGATACTATACCTAAGAGAGCCAAAAAATTCCACCAGAAAACTTCTAAAACTGATCAACACTTTCAGTAAAGTGGCAAGTTACAAAATCAATCTACAAAAATCAGTAGCCTTTCTATATGCCATTAACAAGGAACTGAAGAAAGAGTACAGGGTAACCCTCCTATTTACAATAGCTGCAAAAAATATCTAGGAATAAACCTGACCAAAGACATCAAACATCTCTACAATGAAAATTTAAAATCTTTAAAGAAAGAGACTGAGGAAGACACCAGAAGAAGGAAGGACCTCCCATGCTCATGGATTGGAAGAATTAATATTGTGAAAATGACCATTCTACCAAAAGCAATATATAGATTCATAGGAATCCCAATCAAACTCCCCATGACATACTTCATAGAATTAGAAAAAAAAATCCTTAAATCCATATGAAAGCACAAAAGACCTGGATAGCCAAAGCAACCCTGAGCACAAAGAGCAACACTGGGGGGATTATTGTACCAGATCTCAAAGTATACTATGGAGCTACAGTCATAAAAACAGCATGGTACTGGCGCAAAAATAGACACATAGATCAATGGAACATCATTGAAGACTCAAACCTGAGTACATGCAATTTCAGCCACCTGATATTTGATAGATGCCAAGAACACACAATGGAGGAAAGATGGCATCTTCAACAAATGGTGTTGGCAAAACTGGATCTCTACCTGTAGAAGAATGAAACTAGATCCTTATCTTTCACCTTGCACAAAAGTCAACTCCAAATGGATCAAAGACCTCAATGTGAAACTGGAAACCTTGAAACTATTAGAAGAAAAAAATGGCAGTAACTTACAAGATATGGGTATAGGGAAGGATTTTCTAAACTGGATAGCAGTTGCTCAGGAATCAAGGTCAACAATTAACAAGTGGGACCTCATTAAACTAAAAAGCTTCTGTACAACAAAAGAAACAATCAATAAAGTGAAGAAACCCACAGAGTGGGAAAAAAATAAACTCTTCACCATTGACACATCTGACAGAGGTTTAACATCCAGAATATATAAAGAACTCAGAAAACAAAGTGTAAGAAATCAAATGACCCAATTCAAAGATGGGCTAAAGATCTGAACAGAGAGCTCTCAAAGGAAGAAATAAAGATGGCTAAGAAACATCCATTTACCTGCAAATTTCATTATTTCATCTTTCTTTACTGCTGAGTAGAACTCCATTGTGTGAATGTACCACATTTTTGTTAACCACTCGTCAGCTGAGGGACACTTAGGTTGCTTCCATCTCTTAGCTATTGTGAAAAGAGCAGCAACAAACGTGGTTGTACAAGTGTCTGTGGAATAGGATGAGTCCTTTGGGTATATGCCCAAAGGTATAAGGAGTGTGTTAAAAAACAAAAACAAACAGAGCTAATTGAAACCTTCATTATTCCACCAAAGTTGATTCCTTGTTGGCAAATCTTTTGGTCTTTGATTTCTTATTCTAGTTTTCCCCCTTAAACTTCATTATATATATATATATATTATATACATATATATATATATTTGTATTACCTGCTTCAAGTCATTTCTGGAAAAATGTGTTAAAAATTGTCTCTCTTTGGAATAACAGAAAAAATTACTTAATTTTTATTTGTTATTATTTTGTTTGCTTATTTGTTTTTTTTCTTGAGAAAGGTTCTCCTGTAGCCCCAGCTGGCCTGGAAATCATTGTGGGCCAGGTTGGCCTCAGTCTCACAGAGATCTGCCTCTGGGGTGCTGGGATTAAAGGTATGTGCCACCAGGCCTGGCTTCATTCCTTTATTTATAATCGAGTATAAGTTCAGGCTGTTCTGATAAGAGAGGTACACTTCCTTGAAGCATCGTGCATGACTGCTTGCACGGACCTGTCTGGCTGTTTAGGAAACAAGTTTCAGAGAGGCTCTCAGGATGGAAATTCCCATTCCAGAGTCAGGGGGCTCTTGGAACCTGCCTCTCATGATAAATGTAAGTTCTCAGATTGTCTTTCCTTGCTGGGAGAGCCACTCTGGGTGCCTACTGTCTCAGTTCTACCATCCTCATCCTTCTTGATCTACTACTCACAGTCTGTTGTCCCTACCTCTCCTGGTGTGGCTCTCCTGGCCAGGGCTCTGACTGGCCTCATCAGACCTCCTCAAAATCCAGTGCTTTTTAACAGGATATTAAAATGAGGTTCCTTTTATGTCAGGATTCTGGCAGAAGAGGCTGGAGGATGATAGTTCAGTTGGTAAAGTGCTTGTCTTAGAAACATGACAGCCTGAGTTCAATCCCTAGAATTCATATAAAAAGTCAGGTGTGGTCCCATGGGTTCTGTTGCCAGTTCTGGGGAGATAGAGGCAAATGGATTCCTGGGTCTCACTGCCAGCCAGACTAGCCTGCTCAGAGAGCACCAGGCCAATGATAGCCCTAAAACACAAGGCAAATGGCATGTCAGGAGTGACAGCTGAAGTTGTCTGCTGACCTCCACATTCTCATGCACATACCCCAACATGCACTCCCCCACACACACCTGCACATACACACACAGAATTCTAGCAAGAACTCTTGGAGAATAAGTCAAAAAGAAAATAAAAAATGTTTTCTGTTGTACTCTTTTGACTTTATTATAAAGCAATGAAACTGTTCTTGCTATCCTATGATTTTTATTAGGATCTCTCTTTAAATGGACTTTTAAACACTCAGCTTCACTCTAAATAATTATATTTGTGATGGCATGGGTTTGGTATGCTAGTTATATGTAGTAGGGAGAAAAAATAGCCTGACCATTAAAATAAAATGTGATTTTCAAGTACTATCTAAGATTGTCACAAGAATCACCAGATACACACACACATCACTTTGAAAATGCTGATCTAAGGGCACCAAAGGAATCTGATGAATTTAGCTAATAGGACAAAACTGGGTGGCTCACCTTGGGCCCTAGGCAGCTAGTTAAATTTAGTGGTAGCCTTCCAGAAATGAACTTCCTGCTTTAGGATCTGACAGCTTTCCAAGGGAATGTTTTGGGCACCGAAAGGCAGCACTGTGGACAGAGCTGTCTGGGGGCACACTGGTCAGTTCATTGTGCATGCAATTAGGGGCCTGCCTTCTCTGTATCTCTGTAGGACTGGTACTTACTTCTGGGAAGGGAAGATCATTTCCTGAAAGTATGTTTACTACTATCTGCCTCCTGGGAGTTGTTTGAGAGGATGATTAACTGTTATTAAATAATTCCTTCTTGCTGAGTGGAGTTGCACTGATGCCAAGCAGTTCCATTGCCAATCAGTGTCACAGATGCTCTGAGGGACAGTTTTTGTCCTTTGTAAGCTGTTCCTGACCCCTCCCCTGAACAAATTCTCTGTACTCAACAGTAGCCTCTTTTAAGTCAACCATTCTTTAAAAACGTTTTTGACTTTTATTTATTTTTATATGTGTATGAGTGTTTGCATGGATGTAAGTGCACCACATTTCTGCAATGCTTTCAGAGGCCAGAAGAGGGTGTTGAATCCCCCTGGAACTGGAGTTACACACAACTGTTAGCCACCATGTGGTTGCTGGGAAAGGAACCCAGATCCTTTTGTAAGAGGGTTAAGTGCTCTTAAGTACTGAGCCATCTCTCTAGCCAACCATCCTTGAGAAGTGACATTACATTTTTGTGATATACTAATGGTCTAAAGTACATACACACATGTACACACACACACACACACACACACACACCGATGCACTCCGCCACATGCAGTAAATATGAGGAGCTTATTTGCAAAATATTGAACCTAGAATCCTGACGAAAGAGTAAAATATCATGACTCTTCATTTATAAGACAAGGCAAAATATATTTTTAAACAGGTGCTAATATTTTAGGGAAGAAGCACAAGCAGCTGTTCTTGAAGCATTGATAGAATTCTTTTAAAAATATTTGCCTAATGACTAGGGCCTTTGATAACCGTCCTCTAATATTTATATTCTTGAGTCCTAACTTGAAGACGCTCATGATGCAAACTGTAAAGCATCAAATTTGAACCCAGGAATGTCTGGACTGCAGAAATGAGAAGGGCTGGCTGGGAGGGGCTTCTTATCACTAAGGAGCAGTTAGGGGCAGTGGACAAGGGGACTAGCTTTTTAATTTTTTCCTTCTTATTGATCTAGGCCTTCCTGACTGAGGCGCAATAAACGAAACAGAGTTTGTTTTTTTCAAAGATGGAAGGAAATGCAGAAACGACGCAGGTCCCTGCTTATGAATGGTGTCTGGTTTGAAAGAGGCACTTTAATTCCCAATTCTGTGGGGACAATGGTCTTTACGGATGAGCGGGTGTTGACAATCAGGCCATTTTTCTCCCCTCCAGTTTCAGCGACAATGGGATTATGAAAGCAAGTTTGGCTCCTCCGAGGACTCAGAGGCGGATCGATATTCCTGATTATGGTCGCGGAGGCTCTGTGCCCTTACACAGCTGAAGTGAAGAGCAAGCCAGAGACCCAGGCCCCTGAGTTAACCGACCTGCAGACGGAGGAGGCCCTGGCAGAGCGTGCTAGAAACTTCCTTGGGCTTCACCCTCCTTCTTTTGCGCGTGCGTGTGTGTGTGTGGTGTGGTGTGTGTGTGCTGGTGTGTGTGTGTGTGTGTGTGTGTGTGTGTGTGTGGTGTGTGTGTGCTGTGTGTGTGGTGTGGTGTGTGTGGTGTATGTGTGGTGTGTGTGGTGTGGTGTGTGTGGTGTGGTGTGCGGTGTGTGTGCGCGGTGTGTGTGTTATGTGTGTGGTGTGTGATGTGTTGTGTGTGTGTGTTGTGTGTGGTGTGTGATGTGTTGTGTGTGTGTTGTGTGTGACGGGTGGTGTGTGTGTGGTGTGGTGTGTGGTGTGGTGTGTGGTGTGTGTGGTGTGTGTGTGTGGTGTGGTGTGTGTGTGTGGTGCGTGTGTGGTGTGTGTGTGGTGTGTGTGCGGTGTGTGTGTGTGTTATGTGTGTGGTGTGTGTGTTATGTGTGTGGTGTGTGATGTGTTGTGTGTGTGTGTGTTGTGTGTGACGGGTGGTGTGTGTGGTGTGTGTGTGGTGTGTGATGTGTTGTGTGTGTGTGTTGTGTGTGGTGTGTGTGTTATGTGTGTGGTGTGGTGTGTGTGTTATGTGTGTGGTGTGGTGTGTGGTGTGTGTGTGGTGTGTGTTATGTGTGTGGTGTGTGATGTGTTGTGTGTGTGTGTTGTGTGTGGTGTGTGTGTGTGTGTGGTGTGGTGTGTGGTGTGTGTGTGTGGTGTGTGTGCGGTGTGTGTGTGGTGTGTGTGTGCGGTGTGTGTGTGGTGTGTGTGTGTTGTGTGTGACGGGTGGTGTGTGTGTGGTGTGTGTGTGTGGTGTATGTGTGGTGTGTGATGTGTTGTGTGTGATGTGTGGTGTGTGTGTTGTGTGTGTGGTGTGTGATGTGTTGTGATGTGTTGTGTGTGATGTGTGGTGTGTGTGTGCGGTGTGTGTGTGGTGTGTGTGTGGTGTGTGATGTGTTGTGTGTGATGTGTGGTGCTCTTTAACTGAACTCCACTTCTTGAGTTCTCACTGTATATCTAGAAGGCAGCAACGAGTAAGAGACAACTGTGGCCAGGCAGGATGGCATACACCTGTAATCCTAGCACGTGGGAGAGACTGAAGTCAGAAGGACTTGAGCTGCAGTCCAGTTGGGTTCCCACTCAGGTAGGGATGAAACTAGGGGTAAGTTGGAAAGAAGTTGGAATATTTTATTTTATTTTAATTATTTTCTGGTGTTTTTGAGACAGGGTCTCCTGTAGCTACAGATGGCCTGGAGCTTCCTATGTAGACCAGGCTGGCCCTCCGGAGGCCGCGCCCCCCAGGCTGGCCGGACCCGCCCACCCGGCCCGCGTCTTCCTCTTCCCGCCGGGGCTCCCCGCCCCCCGGTCCTCCCGGCTCCCCGCGCCCACAGCGTCCGCCCGCCAGGCCCCGGCCCGGGAGGGCAGGGGAGGGGAGGGCAGGAGAGGGGAGGACAGGGCAGGGGAGGGCAGGGGAGGGCAGGGGAGGGGAGTCACCGAAGTGGCCGCCGTCCCCGCCTCCTCCGCCGGCCGTCAGGACCCGACCGCCCTCCGCCCAGGACAATCCCAAGCCCCTCCCTCGCCGCAGCCTCGCCTCGCGCCCCAGAACCCGGAGGTTATTTTGGTCCTTTAGCCCCAGGTTGAGCTAAACGCACTCCCTGGAAAACATCTGGTGCGATTCCCCAGAACCTTCATGTGGTTTCTACGAAGTTAGTGCATTGGAAACGCAGCCCAGGGCAGCTCAGGCACCTCCAGGACGTCTGCTCGGGTCAGCCTGGTTGGAGGGTCCGAGCAGAGGGAGCTGGGGGCCTTTGGGTAGGTTCTTAGGCTGGTTCCTAAGGAGCCTGAGCTTCGCCGCTCAGGGGAAACACTTCCACGACAAGGTCTTTTCTGCTCCCAGCGTTTGGTTTTTCGCTGTGTGCAAGTCATAGTTTATTAGAATTGTTTCAATCCTAAAACTCAATGTCAACAGCTGCTCATTTCGTTTTTTAAAACAGGGTCTCCCTGTAGCCCCAGGTGGCCTGGAACTGGCTCTGTAGACCAGGCTGGCCTAGAGATCTGCCTGCTTCTGCCTCCCTAGTGCTGGAATGAAAGGCTTGGGCCACCATGCCTGCTCGATGCCAACAGCTTTACAGATGAAGTTACAGAAATAACCTGGTCACAGAAACTCACTGTGACCAGCCACACTGATACTATTGAGTCTGTTCTATGTGTGTCCCTGACTCCTCCTGCCTTCATAGGAAAACCAGAACAGAGCAAAACAAATGCTTGCTTATGGAAAAAATATTCTCACACACGGGTTAGGGTTTGTGGCCCAAGAAAAAAAGGAGACAGGCAGGTTTAAGGAAACTTTGTGCCTGTGTCTGGAAAGTTCCTTCGGTTTTTTATCAAAGATTAATCTGTCAGTTTATTGAAGAGACTCCAGGGTGGAAGGGGTCACGTGATTTGTGAGCAGGCGGGCAGCTCTCAGTTCTGTGAACTAATGGAAGGAAGGACTAGGAGGGGATCTGGGCCCTTTCCAGGCAGCAGAAAGCACTGTTGTAGGATGGGATTGACCTGCGGCATCTCTCATCAGCTCCCTCCATGTGCAGGTCCCTCTGTCCTTCCCCGGGCTTCCCAGTTAGGGGAGTTGTGGTCCCTTCTTCCTTCTCCCCTAACCTAGGTTTCCTTGCCTTCCCTTTTGCGCTGCCATCCCATTCTCCTACCCAGGTCTTGACTGTGCGATTTTATTGGGGATTTTAAAATGAAACCAGGTGCTGTGTAAAACAAAGGCAAAGTAATAAGGAAAGACGACCCAATGCCTAAGGAATGTGCTGAGTTTTATGACTCAGGCTGTCCTGGCAAAGAACTAGGAGTGACATAGAGAGGTGGGTGGTACTGAGCACAGACCATACATGGCAGCCTGGCCTCCCCAGATAGGGTGGTCAAGGCAGCCTGTGACTCATTTTTGCAAAACCGGAGACGCTTGTTCCTTGTGGATCAAGACTTAACCAGAGGCTGGAGCCAAAGAATCATCAACTTTTCCTTGTGGGGATAGGTGCATGCAGTGGGACCTAGGGCACCCTGAGGTTTGGAGGAGAACACACCTCCCAGGCAAAGAGCCACCCTGATCGGGGCAGGCTTGGTGGACTTGGGCAGGGGCACTGGGATCTTTGCGAATGGATCACCTGTGGGGTAGTAAAGTGCCAGGAAAATTAGCGTGTATTGTACTAGAGAAAAGAGCTTGGGAGTTCTAGGTCACAGAACTGCTACAGTGCCTTGGATGGAGGAGGGGGCATGGGACACTCCTGGGAGCAGAAAGATGAAAGTGTGACAGCAAGGAAAGACCTACAGGGTGACAGTCAGCATCCTTGGGTGCCGTTCCTAATGCAATCAGGGGAAATTAGCTGGAGAGGTGAACTGTGCATAAATATCCAGAGAGACACCCAAGCACACATCCACACATTCTGAGAATTCTTTTCCAATGAGCATAGACATAGGGTGAGGTATACATTCTTTTCTGTTACTAAGAGACAGGCTGAGAGCTCCAAGAAGCCTCTCCCAGCAAGGGTGGTGGGAGGGGCCTGAACTTGGGTGACAAGGACCTGTCTAGGCTGCCTTCATTACCCTGGCCTGAGTAGAACATCTGGACTGAGAGTCCTCCTTCCTAAGTCCCCGGCCACCACCACGGAGAAATCTGTCACATTTTGGATGACCATAAACTTTGACTAGCATAAATGAGATGGCATGGGGGGGCTTATTTGTCCCTCCTTCCCTCCCATTTCTCTCTCTTTCTCTCTCCCTCTCTCCTTCCTTCCTTCCTTCCTTCCTTCCTTCCTTCCTTCCTTCCTTCCTTTCTTTCTTTCTTTCTTTCTTTCTTTCTTTCTTTCTTTCGTTCTTTCTCTTTTCCATTTCATGAAATACCCACCAACAAGCTACGGCGACTATTCCATAAATAGTAAGGAAAACTCTGCTTGGCTTTTTCATCGAAGACTACTTACCTGGAAAAATACAGTCTTGTGAGAACTATGACTTCATAAATATTTATAGCGTGAACAGGCGTCACTTCTGTTCCACTGGAGAATGGGCTCATTCAGTTTATTTATGATGTGACACTTGGGTGAATGACAGCCGTCATCTGGGTCAGCCCTGCACACTGTTCCTTGGAAGTATGTTTATGGCGTGATTATGCCTGTGAATATTTGCTATTTTTAGGCCCTCTTCTCTTTTAATGCCCTCTTAGCCTTCCTAAGCCCCCAAACCAGCAAAAAGCCAAGTTAATAGTCTAGGGAAGATTTGAACCCTAATGACAAGGTACAGGAGCTTGAACATGTCCTATAGGAGCAGTGGAAGAACTTGGAAGGACAATTAAAATGGGAAAGCTAGACATTATTATGACATTCTTACATTTCGGTAGTTTGCTTGGTCTGTGTCCCACAGGTGAGGGCTCTCATCTGGGCATGAAAGGTGTTGACATATGACAAGTGAGAAATGCAGATAGATGCTTATGAAATTCTTGCCTTCCAGGGAGCTTTCGCTGTCCAGTAACAACCAGGCAGGCCTGCAACATGCATCCTGTGACTCTGGGGGCAGGACCTGGTGCAGCCTCTGTGACCTCCACTGGGTCAAAATCTCTAGTGTAACCAGAGGCCTTCCCTCTTGGCCACACCTGGCTCCCAGCTGTCTACCATCAGCTGTGATGGAGATGGCCTCCTCATCTGTAGCTATGAAGGAACTGGTCTAGGCATTTCCAACAAGACACAGGCTTCCTGCAGGACCAGTATTTACCTCTCATTGGCTTGGCCATCTATTGTTTATCTGGGAAGGGCCAGGTCTTGGCACGGGGGCATGAAGCATTGCCAGCATTTTATTTTTAGAGACAGAAAAATGTCTGCTTTTTGGCAGCTCTTCTTTTTCTGG